AGACCAAGGAAGAGCAGTTTATATGATATACTGCATTCTTTTTATCAAAGGCAAAGGTGTCGTAATTGAAATGACAGCCAGCTCAGGACTCACGAATTTGAAGATGCAAATTGCACAGTCTCTTCACCAAATTTGTGTCTTGCTGAATGGCCATTGCATTGCTATGTCATGTCTCTTCTCACACGTGTTTGTTTCTTTAAAGATATCATAAAGACAGGAAAAAAATGTAATTTATGATGAACTGGGCTATAGTTTTCTTGTCCCTTTTTTAAAATGTTTTTTTGATCAATCTTGTCATACAGTTGCTTATGCATATAACATATATTTAATTGTAATGGAAGTATTGCCTGACTGAGAAAGTGCTCAAACATTTTGGTCTTTACTGTGTATGCAAAGTACTTCTTGGAAAGAATGTTTCATCTCATTCCAATAACTGATAAATCTTCTCTCTATCTATTCACATAAACATATTCTCTTATTTTGTACATGTAAAGCATGTGCCATGAATGTGGTGTTGATGTATGTGATGAATGACTGGGTTATGTATGCATAATGGAGATAAAACCATTTCAATATCAACCTTTTATTTTATTATTTTTTACATTAAGTCCTTTTATAATGATGCATTTTATTACTGGCTGTGCATTTCTAAACAGGTTTGAATCATGCAGGAGAAACTGTATCACTTTCTCTGCTTCATTTTCATGCAATGAAATGGATGTCTGTGTAAGTTTCTCCATTAAGCAATTGATTATGAGTGACCAATGTCTCAAAGAGTTCTTTTTGTGAAGTTAAACTACAGTCATAGATTTATATAGTATTTGTATGACATTGTCTCAGCTGTGCCTGGACTCCTGCAAGCTGACTCCCGGCAGTGATGGAATTACATTGCACTTCTGTGAAGTGCCTTCATATGTGAAGGGTAATACTTTTATATACTTGTGGAGATACTCTTTAAGATACCATTTATCTGATACAGAAAGCTGAAATATCTCCTTTGCACAGGACGCTTTGTGGCCAATACTTGACACATCCCCCCCAAGAAAACCTGTCATTTGCAATGAGTACTACATTGTACAATGTGATCTGAAAACACCTGACTTCACTGTTGCTTAACTGACACAGTAGATATTGGTAGAGACAGGTACATGTGATCATTTTGAAGGGCTCTGTCCAGGAGCCCTTTGGCATGTGCATCTGTATTCTCACTATGCAATTGTGAGTGTAAGTGACTGCATGCATGCCAGTGGTAGAGGGTACCAGTGCAAGTGCTTGTATAGATGTGTTTTTTATAATGCTCAGCTATAACTTCAGTATCACAAGTTTTGAACCACAGTGTCCAAAGTAGTGGTTTGATGAGTGAGCTTTAACAGCATGTGTAGGACTGGTGTTGGCCACACGTTCAACTCATTTCGTTTATCTAAAATAGAGTGTGCATTGTGGATACTTTATAATTATCCCTTGTGCTGAACCATGTCATAGTCTGCATCATAGCCTAGAGAGTGACAAGTTGTATCATTCCTCTCTCTCTCTCTTACGTGAACTAAAAGTATTTCAATTTTTTGACATCTATATGATATACGATGTCTTTTCACTTAGCACCTTAAGACAGTCAATTTTATGCTCTGTCAGTCAGAAAGCAGAATGTATAGCTCCACAAGTCAGTCAGTCTAGTGTTGGGCAGGAGCACAGTTGCCCAACAGACACTCCCTGAATCCACAGCTATGTGACAAAGGATGAATACTAAGGACCCTTTATTCTTGTTTCATGGAAACCCTTCTGGCGTCCCGTGGTTTATCTGTGGAGTGAAACACCTGTGCAGACCCTATATAACTCTTGTACATTTTATTTGTATTTTGTACATATTTTTGTATTATAGTATGTTTTATAGAACTCATTAAGGAGATGCTTTTTTCATTGTGCTTATCAGGGATTAATTACATAATGATCACAGTGATCATTTAAGGCAAGAGATAACAAATTGCTTGGCTTTTCATGTCAGCCTCGTAGTTACACCCTGGTAAATGATGTATTAATATTATATCTATAATAAAAAAGAATGTCTGTTTATGTTTTGTTTTTATTTCCTTGAAGAACATAAATGAAACTAGAAACAGCTGAATTATTTTATGTTTATTCTTTAATTATAAATATTATTTTTTTTAGGTCAGATGAATAATAGTTAGAGAAAATACATTGAGGATACTCATAACATTATGTAAGTTATGTATTAGTGCTAACGGATGATTTTATGGGAAATAGAAATAAAGTTTAAATGTTTTAAGTCAAGCAGAATTGATAATCAAAATTGCTGAATAAAAACGCCAAAGAATATTGAGAGAATCATAGGCGTATGGTATAAAAGCAACCAAATAAATGTCATTTATTTTTTCACATGTTTAAGGAATTTTGAAGAATTCCTTTTCAAAGTTTTCTGAAGAGCCTTTACATACTGAACAAACATAAGTTACTGCTATGGAAAAGTGGGCAGTCTGCTCAC